GCTGTCTGTGATCTGCAGCTTTAGACTTAAGCTGTATGGCCTGCAGTATAAAGACCTGTAATCTCTTCCATCCCATAATACTCAGGCCATCCCGCTGGTGTCTAAGACGCGGTGGCTGGAGAAGCAGGGCGAGCTGCAGGAGTTCAGTAAGGTGGGCTCGCTCTTCGGCCGCTTCCGGTTCACCCCCGTCTACGTCTTCCTCTTTAACGACCTCCTCATCCTCACCGCCAGGAAGAGGTGGGTGCACCGACACTGATCAGCCACCGGGGGGCCAGAGCTGTGTTTGCACCACATTTACACCCTCATCACTGAGCTTTTTCAGTTCACTCTCAGCAAAAATGGTTCCACTTAGTACCAAAAAAGGTTCTGTGATTTGTAACCATAGCAGAACCTATTCTGGTTCTATAAAGAACCAATTTTATAAGTTTTCTATCAGAGATGATCCACTTGACCACTAAAAGAACCATTTATACAGTTCACAGTTCTACACACTTAAAAAGATGGTTCGTCAAAGGATCTCTAGTACGGGTAATGGCTCTATATAGAACCATGAGCTCTATATAGAACCATTCCTTGCTTCAGTGGTTCTTTACATGGTGAAATGGTTCCTCAGATTGATGGAGAATGTGTATATGATTCTATTTAGCACCAAAACGGGTTCTGCTATTGTATGCGAGCCTAAATAGTGCTATATAGAACAGATTCTCTATCAGTCTGAAGAACCATCTTTTTTAAGAGTGTATGTATAACATTGCCTTTACAGAAGAACCCATGAAGAACCGTTTGTTTAAGGATGTAGACGCTGAAGGTCTTCTTTGTTTTTTTCTCTCTCTTTTCCCTCCTTTGTTTCCTTGTCTTTCTCCACAGCGTGAGTCCAGAGCGGTTTGTGGTTCTGGACCATGCCCACCGCTCCCTGGTGCAGGTCCAGCCTGTAGACATTTCTGAACCACAGCTGGACCACGCCTTCTGCCTCACCCTGCTGGAGAACCACCAGGGAAACACCTGCGAGCGCCTGCTGAAGGCCAACACTGAGTAAGACATGGCAAACTGACAACATTCTCCTTACTGACCAATCAGGAACACCCAGAACTGCATGGTGTGTGGTGGAACGTACGCGAGGGTGGATTAGTTTAGAAAAGTGACGGTTCTTCCACCACGAGGAGGCAAAAATAATGTAGTTAATATTATTGTAATAGTATTTTGGTTTTGGGTTAAACTATTACCAATAAACTGTTCATAAAATAATTTTGTTTAATTGTAAATATATCTGTGTACAAATGTCTCTGATTTCTATCTGGAGTCAAAAATAAAGAAACGAGACTCAAACTCATCTCTGAAAACTCTCCTCTGGTGGTGCTGGTGTGACAGATCCACTGTGTGGACAGACAGAAGATAGTAAATGAGCCTATAAAGGCGTCTAGTTACTCCAGCATTTCCTCAACAACAGCAAAACAAAAGCTAATCAGTTGCATCGTGGCATCACCCCCACGACTACCACCAGCGCCCCCTACTGGTCCACAAAACTGTGGTGGGCTTGTGGTTTGGTGGTGCGTTTACAGTGTGGAAAGCCCTCAATTAGACAACTTAACAACTGAAGCTTCAGTTTAGGAGATAATTTAGTTACTAAGACAAAACAGACTGACTGTTCTTCAGTGAGATGAGACCTAAAATACACGCCTTTATGTGCACATGAAGAAACACCATAGCAACCTGGCACAGCACAGCAACGGCCTGTCAACACCTTAGCAACTGCCTTGGATTTCATAGCAACAGCCTAGCAAAACCTTAGCAACAATTTGGGATACCATAGCAACAGCCCAAAGTTCGTTCGTCAGTTTTCAGCTTCTAGTCTCAGCTGGAGTTTCTTCTCTCTCTGCAGGTCTGACCTGCACAGGTGGACGGCCGCGTTCCCCTCCGTCTCTGCTCAGCAGGAAAAGCAGGAGAAGGTGTATGAGGACTGGGGTGAGCTGCAGTTACACTCAGCACCAGCAGGGGACACTGCAGCTGTAGATCAGCGCTGAGTGGATAACAGTTGGGGCTGAGAACTTGTAAAGAGGAGATCTCCCACTCTGCAGTGTCTTCTGTGTTTCTCAAACACTAGAGGGCGCTCCCGAGCGAGTCCAAAATGAAAGGGTTAATATGGAGCATTTGAGCAAAATCATAGTTTATTAATGCTGAAACATTTTTAATGTAAAGGAATACATTAATTTCCTGAACACAGAGCAGCATAAAACATTTTAACACTGCTGTTATTTTATTAAGAGCTTTTAAACTCGAGTTATAGGAGTTTAAAACGGCGCCTCATGTACATGCATGACATCTGTGAGCATGAACAGCCAATGAGCTGCCCCGCTTGCCAACCAATCAGTATTCAGTAGCAGTAATGTTTGCTGTATAAAAAGGAAACATACAGGTGAGTTTTCTTTGCTTTTTTAGTGAAATACAAACTTCTACTTTCTAAAATTAAAGGAAAGTTCTGGTTCAGTGATTAGAAACTTTTTTTATGTTTTTAGCGGTTGAGTGGTATTTACTCCCATTCACTGAGGACTCCCTCACTGGCGCCCTCTGCTGTGTAGCAGTCCTGTTTCTGATATAATGGGAGAAATAGAAAGTGGCCAGTCTCCTCATAAACTAGCTCTGGTTTGGGCTGATCAGCTGCTCCTCACGTTTCTGTTAGAACGATATAAAGCACTCAGTGAACCTGAATAATGAACTGCAGCTGAAGAAAAAGCCCCCCATACGGACCCCCCTAAAGCAGCTCAGCACCAGGAACACACTGGAAACTAATCATGTCTATTAACAGTTAATCTATGGGCTATTATTCGATTAATCAATTAACCAGCTACACCTCTGATTCACTCTGTTAGAACAGAAGCATTAATACATCATCTCTGTGTGTGTGTGTGTGTGTGTGTGTGTGTGTGTGTGTGTGTGTGTGTGTGTGTGTTCCAGACTGCCCTCAGGTCCAGTGTATCCGTCAGTACAGCGCAAAACAGATGGACGAGCTCAGCTTAGAGTGCTGTGACATCATCAACGTTATCCGCAAAACTAATGAGGGTGAGAACTAAACTACACGCCTTTATGGGCACATTCATAGCAACAACCTAGCAACACCTTAGCAACCACCTGTGGTACCATAGCAACAGCCTAACACCACCTTAGCAACCACCTGGGATACCATAGCAACAGCCTAGCTACACCTTAGGTTACACCTAAGGTTTTTCATGATGTGCTGTAATGCAGCGCTGCCCAAACTGTGGGCTGTGATTTTTAATTTGAGCCACCACAAAGTGACCCTGACCCAGAGGTGTCCAAACTTTTTCAAAGAGGGTCAAATCAGACTGTGTCAAAATAACTGAGGGCTGAAAAATTATTCACAAATGTTTAAAGTTTTTAAAATATGAAAATACACGACACAAGACACAAAGTTTTGGCACCCCTGCTGTAATCAGCTGTAATGGTACCATGACACCCTCTGTCTCTGTCTCTCTGTCTGTCTCTCGGTCTGTCTCTCTTTCTGTCTCTCTGTCTCTCTCAGGTTGGTGCGAGGGCGTGCGACTGTCGGACCGAGCGAGAGGGTGGTTCCCTCAGGACTCGGTGACCGAGGTGACCAGTGAACACTGGAGAAGCCGAAACCTAAGGGAGCAGTACAGGATCGCCATGGCAACACAGACGGCCAATCACAGAGCGGAAGTGTAACACGGCCAGCCAATCAGAACGATTAGAGCTGTTTTATTACCTTTCAAACGCTGAAATGAAGACAACAGAAAAAACAATGTTGAGAATAATGAATGCAGATGAATATGTAAATGAGGAAGATTTAAATAAACAGAGCTGCTGATCGGTGGTGCAGTGTCTGATATCAGACAGACAGAACACGGAGGGAAATCCAGGATGGAGGAGAGGCTGATCAGCAGCGACACTGTGAACTCTCTCCTGTCCTGTATGACGTCTTTGGCTTCGTAGCTGTTCTCTGCTCAGCTCTGTTTACAGACGTCGACGAAGTTTTCTTTTATTGGTCCACATTTCTACGGAAGTCCAGAGAGGCCATGAGCTGAGGCTATAACTTTCTGGCCTGTTATCTCAAGATCACAAGATAATTAAGTCGTGATCTTACACCAACACCACACAAGGGTCAACCGCGTCCGAGTGACAGTCACCATGAGCAGCGACGTAAACAGCTGTACATTAACGTTCCTGATTTTGAACACGAACCTAAGAGACAGGCTGAGAGTATTACAGCTGTTTATTGGAGATGCTTAATCAAAATCAGCTGATTTTCCCCCAAACCTGCGATCAGCGTTGGTTCAGTGTGATGCTGTGACTGTGTGATCTGTGCTGCAGGTAAGAGTCTCTCGCTCTGCTGTGTCTGAAAGCTGCTGCTACACCTGAACCACATTATCACAGCATGATCACACACCTCACTGTGACGAGCAGCCAGCTCTGACTGTAACGCAGCTCTTCATCACATCCATCTGATTTAAACAGGAAGCTGAGTTTACAGTTAGGGGAACCCCGACTGTGAGGAGCCTAACACAGAGTTCATGTCTGATACTGTTAAAACAGGACATATAAACCAAATGAGAACGTTTGTATGATTTTAACCTTGACCGTCTGATTTCTGAGCTTCTGTAACCGAACTGCGCTCTGCACACTTACTGACCTCTAATTCGGATCAGTGAAGCGCGACCCCTGACTTCACTGTTCGTTTGGCTGTCGTTTGATGTTCTGGTCAGTTTGTGAAGCTGTGAAGTGAAGATGTTTCTTGTTTTTTTTTTCACTGACAATAACAGAACCAAAAATGAGAACTGACCAATTTTTCATTTTGCAATACTGGATTTACTGCAGTGCTGAACACCAAACGAACAGATGGAGCACAGACCCCACCGATACCTACACGGACCCTTCACCCTGCTGAAAAAGGACCATTAGTAACCATGAGGACTGAAACCTGATGGTTTTGCTTTCTAATGGGAATTCTAATTCTAATTGGCCTAAAGGGAAACTGATTTTGCAAAATGAATTATTTATTTAATATTTGTAGTAGTTTTAATGTAAACAAAATCATTCAGAGTGGTTTGGTGTGAAATGCGCCTTTCTAGAGAAATTTACAGAGTCATCTAAACCATTAAATGATTAAGTAGCTTTGCAAAATCGGTGGAGTTCCTCTTTAATGGTTTCCAGTAGAGACCACTAGTTTCCTGTAGAACACCTTTAGATCCCATTAGGAAACCATCAGATGCCTTTAGAATCAGCCACTGGTCACCTGTTAAACCATTAGGATCCTTTACACTGTGATATCAACCCATTAAAAAAGACTAAACGCATTACAGAACCATCAGGAACCAACAGGCACTTAATGGTCTGTATGAGTTTTTCCAGCAGGGATACTGTTATTTCAACAACTGTGAATCAGGCCTGCAGATAAACCAACAAACAAATAAACAAATAAATTATTAAAATAAACATGTAATTTTGTAAAATAATAAATAACAACAAAACAAGTAATTCACAAATTAATGAATAAATTAATGAATAAATGAATTATTGAGTTTTTTCCGGTTGCAGTTTCAGCCGCTCTGATTTCCGGCGGAAAGACATTGCGCTCCAGTACGCATGCGTAATGCGGAGGGGCTATTAAAGCGCTGACTGGCCGCGGCGGCTCCGCTGCTCAGTGATGAGGATGATTATCGGGTTTATGAAGATATTAATGACGATGACCATGATGGTCTCCGCACGCGCGGGCGCAGCTCTCCCGCCGGTCCGCGTGCGCTGCACGGAGCGCGAGATGGTGGTGTCGGTGCGCGCGCAGGCGCTCGGGTCCGGAGCCGGCGTGCGCGCGGAGGAAGTGCGGCTCGGGAGCGGAAAACCGGAGCGCTGCGGCTTAGCGGTGCAGCGCGAGACCGAGCTGGAGCTGCGCGCGGAGCTGCACGAGTGCGGATCAACACTGAGGGTCAGTAAACACAGTAAACAGAGGGATAAACAGAGTAAACAGAGGGATAAACAGAGGGAATCGGACCGTTGGTGTGTGTTGGTGATTTACTGAGGAGCCTGTAAAGACAAAAGAACTCAGACTTTTCAGATTAACCGCTGAAGCGCCTGAGATTCGGTCTGCAGCTGCTGTTCATAAGTATACATGCCTTGACGCCGCGTTGGGTCCAGCCAGACACGTCAACAGCGCCGCCATTTTGGTGCGGTCAACAACGCTGCTCGACTGCATTCAGTACCATTACAGAGCGGCAGTTTAATAAAGATACTGTCCAAAATTACACTATTTCAGGAATATCACTCTCAGAAAGAGGGACAGGATTATATAACGGAGGGAACGCAGTGATCCACACTCATGTCTGTGTGATGCGTGTTGTCTGTGTGGTGTTTGTGTAGATGTGGCCGTGTGGTTAATGAGGCACAGAGAACCTGTTGATGTGATTGTTTTTCCTCTGGTTTATATGAAGCTCATTTCATTTAATAGTCTATTCAGGATCTTAACTTTATGTAGTAGTTATTTATTTACAGTGATGGTTAAAGCTTTGTAGCGGTAAATTACAGCATTCCTTAATCCGTGTAGATATTCATCATAGATTAATGTTAGCAGCTTCTTACACCAACCTCACCAGATTCTTGTTCGAATTTTCCTGTTCACTTTCTAGTGCCTGAAACTGCACCATTTAAGGTGGAACGGGAAAACTCAAACAAGAAGCTGGCGAATAGGAAGCCGACTATCTTCGTCCTTCTTACTGTGTTTGGGGGTTTATTCTATTTTTGTGTATTAAGATTAGAAGTGATTCACACAGTGATGGATTTGCTGATGTGTCTGTTTGTGTTTCTCCCGCTAAACTCGGTTTTTAATGTCAGGTCCAGACTGAATACTCTCCTGCTGGTCCGGACGGCTAATCATCACGATCAGTTATTAAAGTAATAAAAGCTACCGAGAGCAGATCCGAGCAGCCTGGATTAATCTGTGTCTGAGGATTATAACTAGACAGATTTGGTGAAAATCGGTTGAGTAATGAGGAAGTTGTGGCTGATTTAATCCTGAGACTCATCGTCTCTCAGTACAAGGGAACAGCGGATCTTGACCTCTCCAACATGTCGCCTCTGATGAAGAACGACAGATCTAGGCATGTTTATCTATGCTGATGCAGCTCTTGTTCTCACTCTACAGTGAGCTCCACTGATTCTGTAGAATCCTCCATAACTCAGTGAGGGGTAGACAGTGATTCAGAGTGGTTTGGTGTGAAATGGTTCAGATGACTTTACAGTGGTGGTGATAGGAACCAGGGGTCGCCATGACTACAACACAAATATATTTTATTTAGTATCCAAAATCCAGAAAATGGTTGTGTTTTGAAGCATTTGACTCCTGGCTCTATGCTGCCATCTACTGTCCAGTGCGGTTTCCTATTGATTGCCATACATTTTCATTGAATCTCATTCACACAAATAAACCTTTATTACAACACAAATGTGTTAATTTGATTATTCAAACATTAAATAAATAGACCACTGACATGTGATTTCATGTGTTATGTTAACTATGGACAAAGAAAATAATATTAAAAATAACTTTATTTGCCCGTTGGCTTCTCATCATGCACACATCATAAACTTCAGCAATGAATAGTCATATTGTAATATTTTTGGTAATGGAAACCCAGAAGCCTTAAAGATGTGTTGTTTGAGTATGACTGCGTTTGGTCACAGATTATCTTTTTTTCTTTTCTTTTTCTTGTCTAAATGAAAGTGACCCCACACTTGAGGCCTGGCTCTCTTTCTTGGGCCAGATCTGTTTAATTAATGGAACAGTCTCTGTGATGATTTCTGTCTGTGTACGTGTCTCTCAGTCTTTTTCTCTCGAGGAAACCCTCCAGTTTGGGGTTTTTCACACACTGTGGAACTTCCTCTGGGTAAGTGGGTCAGAATGGGTTCAGACACAAAACAGACCAATTATAGATGTTTTATTTATGTAATTTTAAACGCTTATAATAAAAAGCTGAACTCAGTTTTTTTTATCTACTGAAAGTCGACCCATTCTTCCACAAATCTGGGCTATAAACTATAAACAGACAGCGTGTCTTCAGTGATCTGCGCTGTAAACATTACTTTAATAAAATAATACAAAGAGCGTCTCAGATTTTTAGCTTTCAGCAGTAAATTGTAAGCATATAAGAATAAGAGGTTAATAAAGGAGGAAAATGATGGAGAGAGGACAGAACTGTGCTAGCTAACTGTGTTCTTCACTGCAAAGCACACAAACACAGACTTCATGATTACGGTTCTGTACATAGAACATAGAACCACAGTGATGAGAATCAGCAGCTTTATTCTCAGTGTTTCCCATGATGCTCCTCTCCTGTGTGCAGGTGGAAGGTGACAGTGTGGTGTATGAGAACGTTCTGTTCTACTCTCCGGCGCTGAACCCGTTCGGGATCGTCAGATCCGCCGCAGCCACAATCCCCGTCCAGTGCCGCTACCAGAGGTGAGTTTGGTTCTGTGTGTTTAGAACCTGAAACCGCAGCTCCTCAGCGCGGTTCTGATCGGTTCCTCTGATCCACACAGGACCCACTTCGTCAGCACTAACCAGGAGCTGAAGCCCGCGGGTCAGCCAGGCTCCGCCCCCCTGCTGTTCTCTCTCCAGCTGATGTCCGGTGGGTGATCGATAGGCGTCTTCTAAATCATCTCTTGCATCATCTTTTGACTTTGCAGAAGGGGAACTCCACCCTTTGAGCCCAGAATTTCAGAGTTAGAATCATTAGAAAAGTGTTGTCAGCCTAAATACCAGAAGTGCAGCGACGTCCCAGACCAGCTTCTGTTCCATAAACTGAGGAACGGCTCTGAATGTTAGGAATTCTAACCTACTTTGCTAAGAAACCTGTAAAGTTTCTGACTCAGATTAAAAAGCAGTCCCTATAGCAGAAAAACATGAAGTGTGACAAGCAGAATATGCACCAAAATCAAAATTCTTATTCAGTAGCCAAAACAGTGAAAAGCAGTGAACCCATGATATTGTGTTTAAACAGTAACATGCAGTAGAGCTGGGCGATATGGCAAAAATGTAATATTGCGATACTGTAAGGAATTTTCATGATACATATGTCACAATTTATTTTTTCAGACATCCGATCAGTTTAAACTGAGAAAAAAGAGCCAATAGTGCTACATTTAGTATCTTGCACTAAATCATTTAAATGGGACTAATTTTGAATTCTTTATAATGAAACATGCAGTTGGTCAGTGTCTACAAACACTGAAAACATACATGGTATGTTCAGAAAAGCATATTGTACTGTCTTGATTTATCACAATAACATTAGATATTGTCATATTGCCCAGCCATAACATGCAGAAAACGTGCCTAAATGAAAAGTAAAGATCCATTGCATTGATTTAACGTTGTTTAAAGTGCTACACAGTGTAAAGCAGTATACATCTGTGCGTTTATTACGTTTTAAAGTGGATTGTACTCAATTCTGACACCAGTGCAGCATTTTTAACATGTAAATCCTGCAATAGATGCTGTAGTCACTGCCTTTCAATCTGCCACGAATTGCTCTTAATACCGGTGCAGCTGTAATTGTGTGTGTTGTTCTGCAGATGACTGGGTATCTGAGAGGTTCTCCTCCGTGTTCCAGCTGGATGATGTTCTAAACCTGAGGGCATCGATGCTCAACGCTGAACGCTCTCCCTTAAAACTGTATGTGGACAGCTGTGTGTTCACTCAGGAGCCGGACACGGAACACGTACCCACATACCCCCTCATTCACAACCACGGGTCAGTCGCTACAGCAGCTTTAAAGCGATGGTTCAGCTAAAAGTCTGATTCTCACAGTTTACCCCCCTCTCTTTTACTGCAAATGTTGTCCAATTATTTGAGGTGTTTGGTGTGTGAAATTTGCTTCTTTAGCTTTAGCACTGGAGCTACGAGGATAATGTAGCTAACAGGTAATGGAGGCTAATACCCCACCGATTAGCATGGTGCTAACTGCAGACAGTGTCAGAAACCACATAATCGGGTCTTTGAGGTTACTGAGCGAGTTGAAGCTTGATTTTTGCATTCCACCTTAAATGGTGCAGCAGTTACATTCTGGCGCCTCAGGCCTTAAATGGTGCCCATTTAAGGTGGAACAGAAATTTTCAATAAGAAGCTGGCAAATAGGACACTAAATTCACCAACACGTAAGAGGAGAGTCTGGTGATTTACCCATGCAGTTAGTGCCATGCTAACTGATGGGTATAACCTTCCATTACTTGTTAGCTACATTAGCCTTGTAGCTCCAGTGCTAAAGCTAAAGAAGCAAACTTCAGACACCGAACATGTTTCAGCTGATCAACTATTTTTTGGGTTAAAGTGGGTACATATAACTGAACTATCGCTTTAAATGTCCTCCAGGTGTTCTGTTGACCACAGATCAGGTGGCCCCACTGTTTGCTTCTTGCCCAGGATGGAGGACCACGCACTGCAGCTGCAGGTGGATGCCCACCAACTCTACCGATACAGCCAGAGCTCGGTCAGAACCGTGAGCAGTTCGGTTCAGTCATTTATGTTTATTTCTTTTCTCTGGAGGGTTAAAGGGTCAGTAGTGACCTGAGGTGAACTGAGGTGTTAAATAATCTGATCTGTGTGTATTGGAGGTGTAAATGTGTCTCTGTGCAGATCTACATCACGTGTCTCCTGAAGGCGGCTGAAGAACAGAGTTCAGTGAATAAAGCCTGCAGCTACACAGGAGACAGGTACGAACTCGGAGACGGTCTCATACAGCACCGTTAGTAACGCGGCCTAAATCAAATAAACATCTTGATTAAGGAAATTATATGCATCATAAAATCATACATTTAACCACGATTTGTATGTTAGATTGTTTGCGTTATTTATAATAGGAGGATTTACATTTTTCTTGCATGTTTGATTTTTATTGATCTCCACTTAAAATATATATATTTTTTTTTGGTGGTAAAACGATCATCTTTATTAAACTAATTAAACAGGCTGATTTTTTTTTCTTTTTGAAAGCAGTTCAGCTGAAACACTCCTTGTAACTTCAGTGTAAAAGTGGGTGGGGATAAACTGCTATAGGCCTAATAGGTGTATCATAATATGTATTTGTATATGCATGAGTGTGTGTATGTATGTATGTATGTATGTATGTATGTATGTATGTGTGTGTGTATATATATATATATATATATATATATATATATATATATATATATATATATTAAATAAAGCTGTGCCTTCATTACATTTTAAGGTGGGTTGTATTAAATTGTGATGTGAATTCAGTGTTTCATATTTTAAATGTAAATCCTCATGCACTGTTTTCATCTCCATATGAGACGCCTGATCAGACCAGCAGTCAGTACTTGTCTAAGAACCCCCCAAACCCCACCCAGCAACTGGAACTAAACCCAGGGGGGGATTTTGTTAGCCTGTGTGTTTTTTGTGCATTTATTTGGCTTTAGGACTTTAACTGTCGTGTGTGCAGGTGGCTCAGTGTTGATGGTAACCATGCGGAGTGTGAGTGCTGTGACTCTAAGTGTGAAGATCAGAGGCCCAGCCGAGTGTTTAAAGGCGGCGCTGCTGCAGGTACAATACTCCGGTGTCCAATCAGAGCTGATTTACATTTGTTCGGTTTTCCATGTTTTTTTTTATTTAATTTCTCACACACACACACACACACACACACACACACACACACACACACACCTTCTAAGCCACTTCTCCTTCTGGATTGCGGGGGAGCTGGAATTTATCCCAGCTGTCATTGTGTGGAAGGCAGGACACAACCTGGACAGGTCGCCAGTCCATCACAGGGCAGACAGACATACACGTTCACTCACACCTAGGGGCAGTTTACCATGTCCAACTGGCCTGACTGCATGTCTTTGGACTGTGGGAGGAAACCGGAGAACCCTGAGGAAACACACAAACTCCACACAGAAGGAACCCTGGTTACCCGGCCGGGGAATTGAACCCAGAACCCTTCTTGCTGTGAGGCGACAGCGCCACCCACTGTGCCACCATGCCGCATTTAATTTTACACCAAGGACAGAATGCAGAACACAGAACATTTACACTCTAAAACCTGTAGAAGTCTTTCTGGGTAGCGAACACGCGATCGTGTCCTTTTAAGCGGCTTTTCTCGACTCCTCCGGTTTTCGGACAGCTGGTAAGATGGCGTCACGGAGGAGAGGAGGAGGATCAGCAGGCAGCTTCTTATTGGAATTTCCTGTTCCACCTTAAATGGTGCAACAGAACATAACTGCTGCATCGTTTAAGGTGGAACAGAAAATTTAAGCGTCAGAATTCTGCTTTTAGGATCCTGTAGCTGTGTTTTTTTTATTTTTTTTTTGGTCCATTTGTGCAGTTTCCAATAGGAGTGTCTGAACATTTTACTAACTCTTAACTCTCTCTTTTTCAGAGAGCTCTGCTGTGGTCACTGTTGGTCCAGTAATTATTCTACAGTAAACTGTCCCACTAATCCATTAAAGTGCCTTTTTGGTGGATTTGTGTTTCCAAATGAGAATGTCTACTTCAGTACATCAACAGTGAATAATGAGTCAATTTTATTTTGTTTTTTGTCACTCTTTATCATCATTGGGCGCTTTTTGTCTATCATACTATTCAAAAACTGGACACATTCAAATTGTTATAAATGAATTACAGGTTTTGGAATGAACCCCCTAAAATATAGACTGAGGTTTAATAAGGAGCTGATAAAATGCATATATTATTTCAGGAAGACAAAAGAGAAATCCACTGAAAGAGGAGGCAGCGAAGCAGTGAAAGTAGTTTTATTTTTAAACAGTCGAAGCTCCCGCAGACCTGCGCACCATGACTTACAGGTTGGGTCTAGAAGAGCCAGATTAACAGGAACTTTTTAATCTCTTTAGTCTTTCGGAGTGAGAAAATCCAGGTTTGGTCATTTTAGGATGTATATTCTACAAATCAAGGTGAGGAAGTTGAATGTCCAGTACTAAACTAACTTTACCTGTAAGGGCTCTACTTTTTAGGGGGAAGAAATCGTCGATATTAAAGCACATCTGATATAATATTCAGGGCTTCTTTGCTTGACTGTGTTCTTTGTTTCAGAACTGTGGTATAAGGCAGCAGAGCACAACCACAGCACACTCCTCTACTGCCTTATTATAACCTAAACACTCATCTCATTTACATATTTGATCTGTGCTTCTAGTTTGTGTATTTAATAATAATTTATTGACGTCTAGTTTCTAATTTAGCAAATTACAGTAAACAGCTCGTAGAATCAAGTATCAAGTAGTAAATCAGATTTTTTTATTTTCAAAATGAAAACACATTGAATAACAGTGAGTCTGAACTCTGTCCTAAAGAGATGAAGTGGACAGTTATTCTTTCATATTCTGCGTGAATAAACAAAGAGAATGACTGAAGATGTTTGTGCTGTTCTACTTGGTGAGCTGTAGAGGGCAGTACAGAGTCAGTGCAGTACAGAGTAAAGTGAAAGTGTTTCGAGGACAGAACCGTCAGGAGGAGCTGAGGTGAGTAACAGCAGATCGGCTCTGTGTTTTCTGTAAAATATAACTGTAAGGGAAATTATTCTAATTTATGATTAATATCTGTGTGAATGAGTTCATATAGATATAGAGAAGTAAGTAATATGTAGTTAAATGATTTAATTTCCCTCTGAACTCAAAGGTTAAATCCTTTGATGATCTGTTTAATCAGACACAGTAAACACAGTATGGACTAAAGACTAGAATGAACTGAATACAGTGTTTGTTTTTAATCATCATCAGTTTGACGTCCTGTAAGATTCTGAGAAAGTTCTGGAGGTTTTGGTTTCAGTTTCAGGGTGAACAGTCAGCTGATTGGGTGATTTGGGTGGAGCTGTACTGAGAACACTGTGCTCTGATCAGTACTATCAGATATTCCTGGTCACTGAAGTTCAACACTGTGTTCTTATAAAGTGCCTGTTTGGTCATATTTAACGCTGTGTTTCCTCATCAGGTTCCTGAATAAACTCTGAGTGTGAAACAGCGTTTCAACAGCAGCTGATCTCACTGCATATTTCAGACACCACTGACTCACTGACTCACTCTGAGTCACTCTGAATCACTGACTCACTCTGACTCATTCTGACTCACGCAGACTCACTCTGAATCACTGACTCACTCTGAGTCACTCCGAGTCACTCTGACTCTCTCTGACTGCCTGACTCATTCTGACTCACTCTGACTCTCACTAAGTCACTCTCTCACTCACTCTGACTCATTCCGAGTCACTCTGAGTCACTCACAGTCCAGCAGAGAGGATGGAGGTTTTCAGGGCATTTTTCCAATTCACAGATCCCTTCAGAGGTGAGCACTGCACTGCTGTGATGTGTCCGCGTCTGATTCTCTGCTGTGACGTGTCCGTGTCTGATTCTCTGCTGTGATGTTTCTGTGTCTGACTCTCTGCTGTGATCTTTCCGTGTCTGACTGTCTGCTGTGATGTGTCTGCGTCTGATTCTCTGCTGTGACGTTTCCGCGTCTGATTCTTTGCTGTGACGTGTCCACGTCTGATTCTCTGCTGTGACGTTTCCGTGTCCCAGTTTCAGTCTCCGTTTCCCAAACGCTTTAGCCGAGCGCGCTAACGTTACTCCTCCTAATAAACAGACACACGTTCAGCTCCGTCTCCTCATTATTCACCACCATCACTGTAATATTTCATCATCAACATTAACACACAAAGGTGATCAGAGGGGCGGTGGAGATCGAGTCTGCAGCGTCTGAGATCTTTAAAACGCAGAGTTAGAAAAGAAAATCATCTCACAGTGAAAGCAGCGTTTTACAGTAGAGATAAATGGAGCTCATTATGCTGGTAGTGAACTATGCTGCTGACTCAGCATAAAACAATAGAAACATAGAAATAGGGTCTGTCTTAAAGGTAAGAAAATAATTTGAATGTTTTGGCAGCTTAGGATGTTTCTGTAAAACTGTTTTCTTATCTGGAAATAAGATTAAAGACTTAAGAGCTGTTGTTCTGTAATGGCTTCAGTCCTAAATTCAGTCTTAACTGAAGTTACCATGACAACAAAGCAGATAAGATCTGATGTCAGACTTAAGAATTTTCTGTAATACGGCCCCTGATCTCTAAACCACACAGACAGAAAGTACATGCAGAGTTAATGATCTGTAGATCAGTGTTTATTCAGTCTGGTGTAAATATTCAGTGAGGTTACAGATGAAGGGGGTTATTAAAGTGTGTGATTGGAACAGTGAGTGTTTATTGGAGTTATTTATGATGATAAAGTTCTGTGTGTTTAATCAGATCATTGATAATCATGTTTATTTCTTCTGTGTGATTCTGTTGTAGAAACAGTGAAGTTCTCAGTCATTCTGGCAGGAAAAACACTGAACTCTGATCAGGACTTTATAAGACGTCTGAATGAGACGTTCCCCCGTATGGAGGAGACGTCAGTGGAGGAGAGTGACGTTATTCTGCTGTTCTGTCCTGTCGTTTCTCGAGCTGCTGATATTGAAGCAGCGCTGCAGAAACTTAAAGCTGTACCAGGTACTCAGTTCTGTAATCAGTCTGTAACACAAGCATCTCTTTCCTATATTGCTCTCTATGGATGATCTGTCTTTTGATTGGTGATGATATTTTCCACCATTTTCCCTCCGTTTTAATCAGTACTATTTTTCTGTAGAAGCAGACTGTGGAGCAGTGTTAGTTAATCCCACAGCACTGAGTGTCACTGTTCTCAGCCCCAAACTTACCAAGTCAGAACTGTTCACAGTGGTGGTGACAGGAACCCGACGTCCACCTCTAAAAGCTCCCTCACAGAAACTTATGGTAACCCCTGGTTCCTTTCACCAGCTCTGTAAAGAAATCTGAGTCAGTAAGACCCCATTTTAATCGTAGGTGGTTGTTTCTCATCCCATCACTGCAGTATCTGTGATCATGTTTCTGATGATCATCTGGTCAAAATATTCTGTCACCTATTGAATCTGTACATACAGCACCTTATAACCACTGGGCCTCGTTCTCCAGTATCCTCCCAAGTCTGTAATTTAGTGTGTTCTTGATAAAGGTTCTAAGAAAAAGTCCCCGTCAGATTCATGACGTGTTCTTACAGCGCAGAACTGTTCTCACCTCTGTGCTCTTGAGTGTGTTTAGATCCTGTTCTTACCTGAGAACAAACCCACATAAGAGAACATTGGAGAGTCAGATCGTCGTCAGAACTGCGTAAATGGGATTAAGAAGAAACGGTTGGAGAACGTCTTTATGATGAACATCTATTATTTTATTCAAACTATTTTTACTCTCTTTGTTATTAAGATCGTTTATCTATATTTCTCTCTTAGCTACAGACTCCAGGCCTGCTGTTCTAGTGGTTCTCCATCACACATTTGACCCAGACTGCACTGTACCAGACAGCAGCAGAGCAGTAACCAGAGAGGAAACTCTCACTGTGGACTGTCTGTTCTACGAGGATAGAGGACTCCTGAGCTGCCAGAGGAACCAGGAAGCTCTGGATAAAGTTACAGAGTGGATAAAATCACAGCTTTTTATTCTTTAATATTTTTTTTCCTGTAAAACTAAATTTCAGTCCACATTTCTATGGTACTGCATTACAGTTGAGTCAGTAAATACATGTATTACACAGTCTCTCTCGCGCGCTGTTTCAGTCTCTCTCGCGCGCTGTTTCAGTGTCTCTCGCGCACTGTTTCAGTCTCTCTCGCGCGTAGACACACCCACAGCAGAGTCGGGTGAAGAAATGTCTATTTTATATTAATCAGAACTCAGTAACTCTGAGGCTGGTGCTGGTGGGTGGGACTGGATCTGGAATGAAAAGCAAGTAAAACTGTTCTGGGCTCAGAGAACAGTGAGGCTGGAACATCTACCACAGCCCAGGACTATGAGATAAGGCAGGGAAGTGTGGGAGGTGAGGATCTCACTGTGCTGGACGCTCCTGATGGGTTCTTCTCTGGACTGGATGAAAGTGGGAACGTTGTCTGCCTCTCTGCTTCCTGTTCTCCTTGGACTTTGTGTTGTCTGTTAAAATTTTGTTAAGTACCGTAAAGCTGACAGATCACTCGATGGAGGCTTTTGAACCCCTCATCAAAATTATTAATAAAAAAGGCTGTTGTAAAAACTGACTGACCAGTTTCTGTTCTGCCTGCTGAAGAGCCTGTATTGGTTTATAGGGCTTCATCTCACAGAAAGAAAATTTAACCGACACTAAAGAGATTTTTGCTTCTTTTCAGGTTTTGGAACTGTTTGTCCATGTTGGCTCACTCAGCTTTAAAACCTTAACAAGTATCAGCAGTTTGGTTCATAGTCCACTGTAGTCGTATGGTCATTCTGTAGCCGGTGCTCTTATACTCATATTAGAAACTCTGGGTCTGAGCTCCATTTCTCTATGGTCAGTATGAATAGGGGTTTTGAAAAATCTCCTGTTTCCTGTAGAGGCTTGTAGGCCTGTCTCTCTTCCTCAGAGTGAGGCTGTGTGTTTCAGTGTGAAGTAGAAGCTTCTCA